TCGGGCCGCCCCTCTCAAGGTCCGGTTCCTCGGGGGGGGGCACCCCGCGGCGGGAGCTCTCGGTCGGGGGGAAGGGGCTCACGGCGGGGGGAGCCAAGGTCAGCGGGGGCCGGTCACGGAGAGGGCAGGGGCTGGCGATCTGCTGCCCCCGAACGCACCGGGTGAGGGTTTAGCGCTTTCTGAGGCCTCCCGGTGGAACAGGGGCTGTCTCAGCCCGGTGTGGCCCTCGTCTTCTCCAAAGGGCATCAAGGTTTTCCTGCAGAATTACCTTCTTAATATCCCGGTTCCGTTGCTGGGACGCCTGGCAGGGTGTCTGGGAAGGACAGGATTCCTGTTCCTTTGATGGAGCTTTTGAAAGCTTGGACACACTAGAAAAAAGCAGTAATATGTGATCTGTAACAAATTCATCAAAGCAAGAGACTTTTCCTATTACCTAGGAAATACCCCCAGGGCAGGGGGGGTGGAACTTGATGATCTTTAAGGTCCCTTCCAACTCTTAACCATTCTATGGTTCTATGAAATGTCAGACAACCACAGAGAACTTCTGTGAAGTTAGTGGACAGCTTTATCGGTCTGTTTATTATCATTGCTAGAGTCTCAGCAGCCTCGTCCACCTCTGCCCGTACCAGGTCACCAGGAGGTTGCCCAATTCATCACTTCATTTTTAGGGTGCTGTTTCTAAAAGAGCTTGCACCCACACTGTGCTAAATCCTGATGGCTCCACCTCTCCTGGGCTGTGGTGGTACCACGGCTGGACCAGCTCTGGGAGTTTCACCAGTCTATGAACCCACTTACAGTTTCTCCCTCTTCCCCCAGATAATGATAGAGAGAAAAAAGAATGTTCTTCAGATGTGTCCTGAGCATTGGTTTGTCTCTAGGGAAGGACCAAACCCTCTCCTCGACAGTGTCCCGTTTTGTCCCATTGGGGTGAGACGAGAAGGGGCTTCAAAGCACCTTTTTCCTTTGTGGGGTTTGTCTTTCGGCAGCGACACTGACGTTATTGCAGCAGGAGGCAGCTTTATTCCAGCTGATACCAAGGCAAAACTAATAACCATTTTCCAAGAGAACTTTATAACCCATCCAAAGCCAAACCTCATCAGCAATTTGCTGCTCTTTTCCTGCTGACAGCCCCTTTGACAAAACACGATGACAAACAGATGTTGAAGGTAACTTGGGAAACACTCCCAAGAACCGTACCTCAGTTAAAACCATTTATATTTTTCCTGTAACTTCCACATTCATCATGGGGACGGATCTCAAAGCACATTTAAAGGTGCCATATCCTACTGAACTGACATGAATTCATTCGCATTGACACCATTTCCGTACCGACATTATCGAGGTCACCGTGACCCTGAGGGGATCTCAGCAAACCCCTCAGCACCAGAGCAGCCTGACCTCACACATGGCTCATGGAAACATCAGCATCCTTCCATGCCAGAACCTTCCCATCACTCAGCCTAAACACAGCCTGGTCCAACAAACTGAGGCACTCCAAGCTAATGCCTTTTAATTAGCTTATGACTATTAACAGAAAACAGAAGAATAACCCCTCAGAAAAACACCACCTTCTGGGTCAGCAGCAAATCACTGTAATTCATAGTTTCCAGAACTTTTGATATATATACATATATATGTAACTCTTGAGTGCAGGGCTCATTTCATCCTGAAACATTTTTTCATTAAGAACTGCTAATTTGAGACATGATTCCAGCTAATTATTAATTAACTTGTGATCCTCCGAGCAGCCGGGCAGCCTCTGGGAGGCACACAAGCACGTCTTTTGGCCTGTGTCAGAAACGCGGGGATTTCAGGGCACCGTGAAGTGACATCCCTCGGGCAGCCTTCGATTGTCAGCTTGGCCAAATTTCGGGAAACTCCTGGGTGCTTTGGTGGGACTGGGATTTCCCTTCTGGCTCCCCAGGGGAAGGAACCCCCCGTGTTGCCCCCCAGGGGGGATGTGATGGTGGCCACAGGGTGGGCACAGCCGCAGGGCCCGGCCTGGTTGGGCTCTGCTGTCTCGTTGGCCTCGCTGTGGGGCACCGAGAAGCGTTTCATTCCCCGGGGCGGATCGTGCTGATCAAACCTCGGGATTCAACAGCCGCCGGGGTCGGTGCGTTCCGCCCTCTGTCAATCAACCAGGTTTTAATGTTAAGTGGAATCTATTTAATGATTTGAAACACTTCTTATTTCAGTGCTATTCTGTTTGGTATTCAGAGAAATCTGTCTCAGAAATTAGTTTTTCATAGACATGATGTAGCACTGAAATATTGCTGGGGTGGGGGGATTGGGGGGGGTGTCTGTCTATTTTTCCACGCTGAAACACACGGATTTCGGACCCGGAGCGTCCCGGCGAGTGGCCTTAACCCGGCCTGTTGAGGAACAAGGGCGGAATTACCGAACAAAGGCACCGAAAAAGTCATTTTATTGGCACCGTTACGGTCTTACCGTCTCACAGGGGCTTCCCCACGCCCCGGTAGCGCCGGTAGCCTCACGGCGCGCCGCCAGGGGGCGCGCCAGGCACGGCCGGCGGGAGCGGCGCTGCCGGAACCCGCCCGTCCCCGCACCGGCCCCGGCT